AGCAAAATACTTTAGCAAATGATATTTCCAAGGAGTAAATTAAGAAATATAATACAAATTAAAACAAAAGTTCAAATATTTATTATATATATAGTTATGTATTTTAACTTTCGTATACGAAAGTTATAAATTATTATTTTACGGCTAAGTTACTCATTTTCTTTGTTAATGCAGCAAATTTTTCATAAAAAGTCTAACAGATAGAATTAACATATTTGACATATATATCTCGCTTTTATAATAGGACCGGCATCGAACCTTAGACCTAGTGGTTTTGAACCAGAACTCTAACCACGACCACGGCTGTTTTAAAATACTTAGGTAGATATTAAAGTGTTGTAAGATAACTCCACATACACTCTTGTTGTGAGATAACTCCACATACACTCACTACACCTACACTCTTTTATATCCTAATTGTAAGAATAACTCTACTCATTAATGGCACAAATTTCAAACTCTAAAGTGCTGCAAACTTTGTCCTGAATCCGTTGATGTTTTCAAATAACAAGAAAAAACTTTAAAATTTTCTTCACAGGTAAAAATTTAAGACTTCTCAAAGAGGAAAAACTTAAATGAAATAAAGCCACACAGTGGTGGCATTGCATTTAGTAATATTCTTTGTTCTTTATCTCGGGTTAAGATAAAACAGAAAAATCAGAATTTATTGAAAAAGATCACAGATTATGAGATAACGATGTATGATTTTCTGTCCAAGATTTTTGTGTAACAAAGGTGATATGTTATGATGCTTTGAATTATCTGAAATGGCGGGATGGGGGGGGGAGGAGGAGGGTGTATAGCAATCACTCGTATTCACACTGAAAGATATATCAATAGACAACAAAAATTGTTAATTATGGAAATACTTTATATGTCTGCCTTATTTTATTAATTCTTTTTTATGATATAGAACTAAATGCTGATCAATATTCATTTACGCGATATTAATTATGAAGTTAAAAACTTATACGATACTAAGTATAAAGTTAAACGTTAAAAAAATTATAGCCCTTTTTTTATTATGATCTCAAAATAACTTTTTATGGATCATTTGTTTGGTGTTTTCTTTTTATTATAGAAAGTTGTTTCTTTACAAAAATTTTAATTAAGAAAGTTGTTAAAAAAAACAAAAACAGCCACAACATTGCTCTATATTTAACGAATTAATATTTTCTGATATAACTTAATTAAAACCAACGATATTTGCACTTTCAAGTCAGAAAATGGACAATTTGTTTTTTTTAATGTGAAACACAGGTGTTACATATGATACTATATGTTAGTATACACAGAGCAAAATAATCGGCAGTTGGTTTGGTGCTGATTAACATGCTTCTTATAACTAAACAACTCAATTGCTTGTTTTGCTGAAAAATAGTTTTTAATTCTTTTTTCTGCGCAGCTGATAATTTATGATTTAAAAGTTTATTACTCATCTGGTCTGGCTTTCTAGTTACTTATTTGAAATTTGTTTATTCATACTCTTTGATGTTACCAAACGTCCACTTGGTAGCAAGTTTTACTCCATTTGTTTTTTGGGCACCTAAATTGTTTGCTGACTTAACCAATAGACCCAGCCTTATGTAATTGGAAACCCTAGGCAAAATGAATTTTGTTGCTAAATTGAAAAATAAAAATAAACGGTTCGCCAAGCACAAAGAGGACCATCAAGGGACAAAGACTGTAGAGGTGTTGTGAAGCGGGGCGAATTAAGCACGCAATTATAGTTATTTATTACGAGTTATGCGGAATTTATCGGACAAATCTGAATTTAATTATTTGAGCATAGTAATTTGTTTTTGTGATTTTATGCGTGGGCATAAAGGTTCTATAAAATATAAACTTTATTTTTTGAAACACAATTATTTAAAATGAAGTTAAATGATGCTGAACGAGATTCTTTTCGAAAGCGACTCAATATTTTTTGTAAATAAACCTAAAATAAAAAAAATAAAATCGTAAATCATTTTGAAAGTACAATATATGAAAAACTAAAAAGACTTGAAACTGTTTAATCCTTTTCTTATTGCCAATGACATTGGTTATCCGACATTCTGGACTAGAAAAAAGAAAGCCAATTTAACGAAACTTGTCAACAATAGAAAATAAGTCAGTTAGAGATAAAAAGGTTTTTAATTTGGTTTAAATCAATCGACAATTGGATATCAGTTTAAAAAATGAATATCAAATATAGAAAACATAAAAAGACTCCAAAGTACACTATAGAACAACAATTAGAAAAGAAGCAGGAAACTAGTTAACCAACTCTATAACACAAAACCCTGTTCTGGTCATGGATGACGAAAAATACTTTTGTTTTGCAGGGGACAACATGCCTGGGAATTCTGGATACTACAAAGACAACAAAGTGAACCAGAAAGTGTTCCTTTTGTAAGAAAAGAGAAACTTTTAAAAAGATTATTAATGTGGATAGCATTATCTGACCGTGGTATGTCCGAACCATTGCTTCGCAATTCCAAACTTAGCGGAACTAAGATTTTTTACTCCAGCAATTTTTCTATTTATGAAGCCTTTATAAACTTTTAACAAAAATCACCTTTTGTGCTATGACTGTAGCTATGTTGCAAATAGTTGTGAATAATGCAGAGTCTGGATGATCTCTCATTCAATAGATAATCATTGCTATACTGTTCAAGCGTCCTTGCATCATCGTTCTCAAATAGATTTTGATTAATTTCAACTTAAAAAAACTTCACCCAATGCAACAATGATCGAGGTCGTTAAAGCTATACAAAGAGCTATACTTACGATACTTGGAATAAGAGTATTCATACCACGATAATAAATAAAATGTAAAACATCTAGAGAAGACGAGACATTTTCTGGAATAATGTCGGAAAATGTTGGAAACTCATTACACAAATCCTTCGCATCAATATCTGAACCAGATGCATTCGTGAGCGCAATATTTAAATCCTTACAACATCAAACTATTTTTGGTAACAAAAAAACTGAAGTTTTTTTGATGTTGTGCAGAAATCTATAAGACACAAATTCGAGTCTTTATGAATTTCAACAGGAAGTTACGGAAGTCACAGGTTCTAGCTGGGATTTATAAAAAAGTGCAGTCGAGTTTATGAAAAAATACACAGAAAAAAAGATTTGTCTCTGCTCAAATTTCAGCCAGAGAATTGGCTCTAGAATTAAAAATGGAACTAGATAAAATCACGTTTTCAGCTGCCTCAAGCTTAAGAGGTAAGAAAGCGCACAGACAGTTTGATTATTAAAGCATAGAACAATCACTGACAAATCCAAGAAAAAAATGTTTAGTGGAATTTTTTAGAGTTCTAAATTTTAGAATAAAAAGTCTAATTTTTTCTGAGAGTTTCACATCGGGCAGCTCTTCATTAAAGATCTTTTTTTTTTTTGCTTCAGCTTCTAAAAGAGCTTGCAAATTCACGTGATTAGTACCAACTTTTTAAGTTATGTTTAAAATTTCTAATCTTTTCATGTTTAATCAACACTTAATAAAATAATAGAGCAGCCGTGGCGCAGTGGTTAGAGTTGTGAATCAGAACCCAGAGGTCCAAGGTTCGACGCCGACTCCAGCCTAATAAGTGATATAGGTAGGGAAGGAGGCGTGAACTCTTAATTAAAAGCTCTCCCGCGGTGCTCCGTGATAAGACCGCAAGGACTTCAAGGAGCACCTAAATAACCTAAAAAAAAACAATAAAACAAACAAAAAAACAAAAAACAACAACTTGCAAACAAAGTTTTATACACTTTACAATAAATACTTTCCGAGAATAAATCAATTTCAACTTCCTTTTTTTAAGTTTCAATAAGATTAATATAAAAAAATTTCTCCAAGTTCACTTGCTATAAAAAAAGAAATCGAAAAAAAGCTTTGACTACTTTATGCCAGTTTAGACTTATAGTGCGGCCCTGACTCTACTACCTGTTTGAACATCTTTTGCTTTTCCGTTTAGATATTGGTTTTTTATGTTCTTAAAGAACGTTTTTTCGGTAAGGAACTTATTATAACTCAGTGTTTTAATTTGTTTTATAATATTTTTGCCAAATTTTAAAAACAAAGAGCTATGTTTTAAGATAATATGTTTGATGAGAGAATAATTAATAAAATAATAAATAAAAAAATCTTATATATTTAAATTATATTTTGAGAGCTATTTTTTTAAATATAAGAATATAAAACGCCTTTTTTTTTAAAATCAGGCAAAAATACTACCGATTTTAATCTAAACATTTATTTATCAATTCTAATATATAAATAAAGTCGTTACAAAAAACACTACATAAATAAAAAATAACTCTAAAAAATAATTGTAAAAGAACTCTCAAAATAACTCTAAAAAAGTTAACTCTAAAGCTCCTTTCAAATTAGAAAATATTGTTTACGAATTTTTCTTTTTGAGATGCTTTTATTCCATATGACGTTCCAAAATAATACGATTGGATAGTTTTTTTAAAAAGTAAATGATTGTGATTGGTTAACTTTAAAATAAGAAAATCTCAACATTTAATCACTAAACGAAATACTTTAAAAACATTTTAAAACCACAAGTAATACAAAACAAATTTTATCAACAAATATTAAATTCTGTCAACGATTGTTCTATGCCAAATAATGTTTTTAAACTTTATCTAGCCGGGCGGGCGGCTCGTGAGGGCCGACTGCCCACTCATGTCTGTAAATAAATAATTTTTAAATAATGCCTACTATTACTATATTAATATATTATTTTCCGTATGACATTAAAAATTTTTAATGACTTTATCTGAATTCTTCCATATCATGTGCAACCTCTACTGAGTTTTATAATAGTACATTTTTAAATTAAATTGTATTCATCAATAAATTTCAAATTACAGCTAATACTTTATAAAAAATTACGATCGTGTAAAATTTATAGACCTATTTTGAGGGGATTGGAGGTATATAAAATTTTTCTGATTGTAATTATAAAAATAGGAGCCTTTTATGCGACCGTCCGACACATGGCTAGAGACAAAACTAATAAATTAGTAAATATATATTTCATGTGTTTTAGAAATTAACTTTTATATTTTAATCACTTTGCGCAGGTGTCACATAAATACAAACTCTTTAAAACGCATAATACTTTTTACATGCCTAGGCATAGGTATTCGTTAACACAGTTTTAGTTCTTTAAAAAATATTTAATTTCTAAACTTGAAAATCTTCGACACAAATGGTTATAAATATTCTGTAATTACAAATAACTTAAGTTAAATTAGTTGTTTTTCATTTTTTTAAACATGACTTCAATAACTTTAGTTAATACATCTTTGTCAGCAAAACAGTTCACCAGAAAATCACAATCAACACCTCTAATATCACAATGATTTGAAATTTTTTTACGATTAATATCTTGACCCGTTGAAGTATCTGGTACAATATCTTCTAATTTATGCAAAGAGCCATGTTGATCATCTACTACGGCACGAGTATGAAATGTAGATAAGCATGCGTTTACTTCGTAGTTTTCATTTAGTGCAGACTTAAGTAGTTGCAGACAATCGGAAAAATTCTTAGGCACCTCCTAATCGAAAGAAAATTTTACAAAGGAGTGAAAAAATTTAACAACTCTTTTCTCTCCTAAAAAACTCGAATTTAAAATAAAACTAATTTAAGTTACATAAAGTAAAGGAATAAAAAGATACCTCATTAGGATTTAGCCAACGATCTGGAGAGGTTCCATCGTATTTTTTCATTGAAAAAACCTTAAAAAAAAAAAAGAAAATTCAATATAAATGTACATATAATTTAACAACGTACATATAATTTAATATAATATAAACAATGTTTTAAGTAAGAAAAACTTACCAGAATCTTTACTAAAGCTTCACATATGCGATCATAGCTATCAGTTTCCTAAAAAACATTATAAAACCATATAAAACAATAAGACATAATAATTAAAAAATAACTCTAAAAGTTGAAAAATGTAATGAATTTATACTTGATTGAAATCTTAAAAAAAGCAACTTAATCAATGTTACCATTTATAAAAATATTTTCAATAATGTATTGTAATAACATTCGTAGAGTTTAATAATAATAATGATAATAATAAAAATATTATCTTAATCTTGATATTTTGCTGTGAATTTCAATATATTATCTCTTGTTTGATATTTTGCGGAGTGATAATACTTTCCAGCATGAATTCTAATACTTTATCACATGATCATACCTTTCTTGGTGTAGCAAACTTTTTTGTGTACATATATCAGCTGACTTTAATAGGAAGAACATGCAGGGAACATTCAACAGGGTTAGAATCAAGAACCCTTATTCAAAGTATGCTGATGTATGCACGTCTTTAAATAGTGAGAACATGCAAGGAATGTCTTTAAATATTTAAAAAAAAAAATTTTTTTTTGTATTAACTCACTTACTAGACATAACCAACACAAAAATAAAAACAAACACTTTCTGAATTAAAAACAACAAAAACTTCAGTATAAATAAAATTTAGGTTCTTTAAAATAACAATTAGCACTTAATCATTTTTATGATTTTATTTATTTATTTAGTTATTTTACCACCAAAAAAAAAAAATTTTAAATTTATACTTTATATCTTTATATTTAAATTTATACCTATACAATTTATTTCTTAAAACATTTATAACAACATTATTGTCTTATGTTTGTTTGCTCACAATTTAGTTTTTTTTTTAAATGAAATAAAAATTTACTTAAACATCAATAGCATTAATGTTTATACTATAAAAAAAATACCATTTCTAACCATGTGTTGATGCTGATGCTGTTTGTTTCATTTTCTACATAATGCCACCAATGTTTTGGTACATACAAAACCTCTCCAGGTAGTAATCGAACCTATGACCATTGATATATATACTTAATTATTTACTTTTTTAAAACTTGTTAAACAGGTAAAAATTAATAAACATAAAAAACTTTTAATAAAAATAAAATAAAACTCACAGTGGGGCTAAAGACACTTTCTTACACCGATTTTTTTGATCTGCTTATCAACAAAAGCAAGTAAAGTTTAAGTCCTAGCTTTGTTGATACAAAGCTCTGATCCCAGCTATGTTGCTATGGAGTTCAGGTCAAACTGTTTAGCAATGCTAAAGTTTAAACAAAAATTTTCCGTAGAAAAAGTAAAAATTTGCTAATGAAGGATCTCTAAAGAACAGCATGGTAAAATTATGAAGGAAAAGTTTTAAACTTATTAACAGTCTAACTAATGTTTTCCTATGATGACAATATTATTACAAACAGTCTCGTAAATTCATGTTTGTAAAATCAGCATTTTATGCTGGTGACCATAAGGTTTTTCTACAAAAATTTCTACAAAAATACAAACCTGTTTATATGGAAAACAGGTATGATCAGCATGTCAAAAAACTGTTGAAAAACAAATTTTTGAATGCTTTTAATTGTTGGCAAACAGACCATACCTTTGAATAATCAATGGTCTAACTTTTTTAAATCTAAAATGGTTGCATAGATCAGCATTAAAAATATATTCAGGCCAAAAAATAAAATAGCACTTAATGTAGTGTAATAATTATGATAAGAACTATAACAATAATATAACAATGTAATTTTAAAATGTTCATTAGTCAAAGTGTGTTATTAAATTCCAATTTTAGTAAGCTCTTTCAATTTAGTATGTACGTACAATTTTTATAGATATTTTCTTTTGCCCCACTGTGAACAAGCAGAACTAGTCAGACTGTGTAATGTGGTAGTCATACAAATACATGAACAGATTTTACTGCACTAAATGTTGTTGCACATTTTTGTTAAACTAGATAAAAATTTATTGAATTAAGTTTTAAAAGTTTAAAAATTAAATTCAAGATGCAGCTAAATTTTTTCCATATATTACATCACACAAATTTCGACCCTCTTCCCCCTCATCACAACATTGTAACTCTTTAACAAAAAGTTCTGTACAAGTTGCCACAAAACCACTAACCCCCCCCTTCCCTCCATAAAGGGTGACATTTATGGACAACCCTATAGCATTAAAATATACTAGCAAAAGAAAAAAAAAGGTCTGGAAACTAAAGTACAGTTTTGGATATTTTTATCCAAACTTATGCAATAATTGACTTCTTTTTTTCATTTTTCTTTTCACAATTGTTCATTATCTTTATTAGCTACTTTTATAAAACCTTATTAACTTTGGTTATCGTAATTTTTTTTTTTTTTTTCAGAAAAAAAAAAATTACATCATTTTTTTTTTAGAAATTATTTATTCCTTAAAAGTTTATTTTAAAAAAGATTTTTCAGTTTTAATTCTTATTATATTGAAATAGATCGAAATTCAAAATGATTAATATTATTGGAAACATCACAAGTAGGATTTTAAAAGTGTTTATAAAGCAAAAGATTGAAACTTTAAAATAATAAAAAAACATATAATAACTTATAGTAATAAACTTTAATCACCAAAGATCCTTATTTCAGGACAACATTCTATAGACAAAAAAAAAAAAAAAAGAGATTAATCCTTTTTAAACATGCATTTAATGAGGATTGATCTCATTGTTTAACAAATTTGGTTTTAACAATAAACTCAATTTAGTTCAGTTTAAAATTCATCAAAATTTAAGTTTAATTTTGTTTAAAAGTCTTTGTTAAAAAGTATTCTACTTTGTAAGTTAATTATTGGATCAAAACATGCTAACTGTCAAATGTTAGATGTGAGTTCAGTAGGTTCAAATTTATTAAAATGGAACAAGCACAGTAGTCTAATTGCAGTTGCAACTGTTACTTTAGGTGAGAGTTTTCAAGATGTAAATATTGTATCTTAAACTCAGTATATAAAAAAACCATTCTGGGCTATGGGCATATTTCTGGTTATATTGTTACTAAAATGTTACAAGAAATGTTATTTTATGCATATTACAAGAAATGTTATGCATGTTACAAGAAACGAAATGTTATGCATTATTTGTTCTGCTGTTAACCAATACAGGTGCATTACAAGGTCATACTTATATTATGACATAGATTGCTTGATAATATTAAAAATAGAGGAGGACAAATTTATCTCTTATTTGATATTTTTTTCTCTTATTTACTATTACTAAGGTGAAAAGGTTTTTAATGTAGTTTTAAGTGATTGCTTTTAGGATGCTTTTTTAACAACTACCACCAAAAATCAAGGAACCTTACTACTAGCCATCCACAGAACCGTTAAACTGAATTTTAAAGCTGTACCCTTAAAGGAGACAATAAAAAGAGTTTTTATTACTACAAGCATGATACAAGGTATGATAAACATGTCAGCAGAAACTTTTTGCTTACACCTTACTTTTTTGCCTAGAAAGCCTTTTCTAAAGACAATAGCTTGATCACTTAAAATTTGTCAAAGATGAGTACTTTTATTGAGATACTGTCTCTAAACTTTACTCAACTAGGAGTCCCAAGATAGAAGGTATTTAAATTCAGAGTTTACTAATAGCCTAATGCAGAAGGGCCTGTGGTAGGTTGTATTAGTTTACATGTTACCAGTAGAGGATAACCACAATGATCTTGATCCTAACTTATTTTACTTGGCTTTATGATTCAAATATACAAATAATTGCAAAAAAAAAGAATAGACCAAGCTGCTGAGGTTAAAGTAGAAAATAAAAAAACCATGAAAAGAGTTTCTTTTTAAATAATATGTAAAAGTTTTTTATACAGGTTTGCACAAAGTATAAAAAATGTAAAGAATTTAAAAGTTTAAAAGTTTTAAATTCTTTACATTTTTACAAATTGATAGCCTACAAAAAAACATAATTGAAGTTATAAAAATGATCGGTTTTAAAATAGAGATTTAAACAAAGATACCTGCAGTCAACTTCTTAAATGTCTCATTTAACTTAGAAAAAAACTCTTACCGACCTTTCAAAAAACCAAATGAATATCTATGTTACATCCACACTAAGTCCAACTATCCTCCGCAAATAATAAAGCAAATTCCTATCTCTATCAACAACAGATTATCACAAAATTCATCAAATGAAAAAACATTTAATTTATCTATACCAGAATACAAAGATGAATTAAGAAGAAATGGCTTCACTGGTTTTAATTTAAAGTATAATCCCCAAAAAAGTGAAAACATGCTAACTGTCAAATGTTAGATGTGAGTTCAGTAGGTTCAAATTTATTAAAATGGAACAAGCACAGTAGTCTAATTGCAGTTGCAACTATTACTGTATAATCCCCAAAAAAGTGAAAAAAAGAAAAGAAAAAGAAAAAGAAATATAATATGGTTCAACCCCCCATATAGTAAAAGCGTTTCTACCAATGTCGGACATATCTTCCTAAACTTAATCAACAAACATTTTCCAACATCACACCCGCTAAGAAAACTATTCAATCGAAACACCATCAAAGTGAGTTACAGCTGCACCAAAAATATTGCAAAAATTATAAAAAGCCACAACATAAAAATCAGTTCAAAAAAACCAAAAGAATACCCACCCTTCAATTGCATAAATAAAGAAAACTGCTCTATAATAGAAAAATGTAGAGCCTCCAACGTTATTTATAAATGTACAGTATCCCCCCCCCCCCTAACACCTAAGAAAAAGTATATATTGGCCTAGCAGAAGGTGAATGGAAGAAAAGATGGGCTAACCACAAACACTCATTCACAAACAAAAAGATGAAAAATTCAACCACCCTTTCAAAGTATATATGGCAGATAAAAGAAAACTTAAAAATAACACCCAAATTAACCTGGTCAATAATTAAACAAGTCCCAGCCTACAGCAACGTAACAAAAAAATGCTTGATTTGTCTTCATGAAAAACTTTGCATAATATCATACAAAGGTGCGGAAGAACTATCAAATAAAAAAACAGAAATAATATCTAAGTTCTGTCATGAAAACAACTTCTTGTTTGACAAGCACGAGCCTAAAGATTAAAAAACCAAACCACGCTTGTAAATAGTTAACATTTTATAATTGTTTTTGAACGCCATAATGTTTATTGAGTATATTTTTTAACAAAAAAAAAAATGTATTTTTTACCTGATGATTGCTAAACGCATGAAACTTTTAGCAGTAAAAATTATGTAGTTATTTTTATTTAACCTCGTCAAAAAAAAAAAAAAAATTATATATATATATATATATATATATATATATATATATATATATATATATATATATATATATATATATGTATATGTATATGTATATGTATGTCTATATATATATATATATATATATATATATATATATATATATATATATATATATATATATATATATACATATATACACAGTCAGCGAAATTCAGGTCGGCAATGCAATTCCGCAATGCTGACGCAAAAGCCGACCTATCTTGGCTTTAGGACGGCATACAACTGCCAACCTGAATATCATTTAGTGTCGGCATGCAAATTGATATACATGTAATTTACATACTATTTAACTAATTAAATAATTTATTTACATGTTTACATTTTTTTTTAATATTATTTAAGATCAAAAAGTATATTAGGAAAGTTTAGCCTTGGTATAGTTATGTTAAACACATGCAGAGAAGAAACATTAGTTACAAAACCTTTTTTTTAATTTGATAGAAGTTAAGGCTTCCATTAAATGGCAACACACACAACAGTACAGTAAGCTGACTCAAAACAAGTCATAATGCCAAACAGAACTGTGATTGAAAAATGTGGGTTTAAATCCTGCAGATTTCAAACTGATGATTCAGGTAAAGTAATTTTAATATGGTGTAAAACTTGCCGAGAGTATTCAGAAAAATTGTCATAATAAAAATAAAGGCTGTACTAAATTAGCAACAGAAACGTTTGTATAGTTTTGTATAGTTCATAGTATACTACAATTAAATAATGAAATACACCACCTCTTCTACTGGAAAATTAAATGCTTATTTCTTGTAGAGGTTAAACAACCAGATGTAAACTGTCTACTCATTTTGTTAAACAATTTACCGTTTTAAACAAAAACTTCTTCTACAGCTCATAAACTAAATTTGTATTTCTAAACAATGTTTTTTCTATGAGCAATCTAAAAAACTAATTAAAATATAATAAGCAAACTATGAACATTTTTTTTGTAAAAAAATAACAACTTTAAAACTAAAAAATCATTAATTCATAAATTTGCTATATACTTAATTTACTACACAAATTTGCTACATTCTTAAAAATATTATTGTCTGATGACTTAAAATGTCTTAATATTGTCTGAAGCTATGCTATTATAAAGCAATCCTTTTATAATCAATTAATCATTACCCCTATCCTAAAAGAAAGCAAAAAATCTAATTTTTTTTTGCCGAACTGACGTCTGTTAAGGTCGGCACGCTTGCGCCAAACTGAAATCCTTTGAATTTCGCATATATATATATATAAATATATATAAATATATATATATATATATATATATATATATATATATATATATATATATATATATATATATATATATATATATATATATAAATATATATATATGTGTGTGTGTGTGTATATATATATATATACATATAGATGTATATATGTGTGTATATATATACATATAGATGTATATATGTGTACATATATGTGTGTGTATATATATATATATGTGTATATATATATACATATAGATGTATATATGTGTGTATATATATACATATAGATGTATATATGTGTACATATATGTGTGTGTATATATATATATATGTGTGTATATATATATATATATATATATATATATATATATATATATATATATATATATATATATATATATATATATATATATATATATATATATATATATATATATATATATATATATATATATATATATATATATCAGTGTGATTCTAAACTCCACATTTTTTGAAAATGCCTGCTCTCAGCCCCTAAATGTGTTCTATTTAATATAATAACACTGGATTTAAAAAATTTTTGAATAAAATTTTTTTTTAGGGGTTGCATAAGACCCTTAAGTATTAGATTTTACTGCCAAGAAAATGACACTTGTTTTTAACTAAAAATGAAAAATATGTATATTCACAAAACTATTTGATTATAATTTTTTTAAACTTTTATACAACTTCACTTCTTTTAAGACCCAACATTGTATACTTTTATATATCATGTTGGGTATATATATTTTTTTCATAATAAGATATATTGGGAATATATATATATATATATATATATATATATATATATATATATATATATATATATATATATATATATATATATATATATATATATATATATATATATATATATATATATATATATATATATATATATATATATATATATATATATATATATCTTTATATATATAATATTAGGGACCTGTGTGATGTTTAAGGGTCTTGAGCAACCCCTAAAAATACTTATTTAAACTTGTTTTATAAATCCAATAATATTTTATTTTATAGAACATAATTAGGGGTTAAGAGCAGACATTTTAAAAAAATATTATTTTTGAAACCACCCTAATATATATAAAGACACATATATACATACATTTTTTATCAAATTTAATAAAATAGATTTATATAAATATTTTTTTTAATTTATTAACCTCCCTACTGCTGCAGAGGGGACCATTAAAGTGGAAAACACTCTTTTTTTTCGTTACTTTATTTTTGAACTCAAATTACATTAAATTAAAAAAATATACTTCAATTCTTAGTTATTATAACATATTAAAAATTATTTTTTCATTTAGGTATTTTTTTAAAATAATATTTTAAATTTGGCACAAAATCAAAACTGATTATTATGCATTTTAACAATAAACTATTTAATGTTTAATGTATTTTAAACTAAGTTGAAAACAATAACTTGCTCTTACATAACTCTCCTGCATAAAAAATGTAATTATATACTTGTTTGGTAATGAAGTTTATTTATGTAGTTTGTTTACCAAGTTTGCAAAACAATTAAATTTTTTTTAATAATAAAAACTTATTATAATTGGTTTCTTATTTTTTTTTCTGTTAATTTTTCACAGTTTTACTTGAATAAATAATTATCATTACAAATAAGAATAAATTTTAAATCTAAATTAATTATAAAATTTTTTAGTTCAAACAAAATGGTATATTCAACAACTTAATTTAATAAAATTTCAATGTGACATACTTTAATTCCATATTGTAAATTTGATTTAACATCAACTTTACTAAAAATGGTAGATTCTTCATAAGGAATACGAGTTGCTTGCATTAATTCAGAAGCATGTGGTGAAAACAAAATCCATTCTTTAATACCCAAAATTTGTGCAACTAGATTAGTGCCATAAGCGTCTTGGTGACAAGGAGTAAAAGAACCTTTACTTCCAAACCAAATCGTTGAATGGAAACCGTTACGATTAGGATAACCAAACTTTCCCCAATTAACTTCATTTAAAACATAAGAAAAATCTTTGAAAAATTCAAACATATAGTTGTAGTCAGCATAACCCCAATATTCAGAGCTAAATAACATAACAAAATAAAACAGTTATAAAAAGAATCATTAGGTTATTAATAATAATAAACAGATTTTGTAAACATAAATTCAAGTGTACATACATTTTTGCATGTATTGAAGATAAAGGACTGAGTATTTTTATTTTTATATTACATCAATGAGAATTACCTAAGTTTCAAAGGTCTTTCTACCCTGCCCACGTAAAAATAGGGCTTTCAGGAATTGCTAGTATATGATATACTTAAAATTTAGTATACAGTTTACAGTATTGAATACAGTAATAGATACTATAAAGTATACCGTAAAAAGTTTTTTTTTGGTGAAACCGGAATAAAAGTTTGTAAAAATTTTTTTAAGGATTTACATAAAACAGATGCTTTTTTTAAATTTAATCTTTATTTTAAACATAACTCATTTATTTTAAACATAACTTCGAGTTTTACACAAATTAGGAATCATCAGATATTACAAATCTTAAAAATAACAACAAAAATATTGTGGAGAGTCCTCTTTGAATTGTCGATGAGTCAAATACCAATGAGTCCTCATTAAATTTATTGATCATGCTCTTATTTTCATGACAACACTTAGCAAGTTTATTTATAAAAGGATAGAAGAATATTTTTAACTTTAAGTGGTCGTGGTGCCACTGGGAAAAAAAGTTTTTTTTTCTGTGCAACAAATAAAATATTTTTTTAAATTTAATTTTCTATTTGTTTTGTTAACTCTTTTACCTGCAAAATTAACCAAAAGAAAACAAGCGCAGAAGATATGGCAATTTTCAAATCATTTTTTTAAAACTACTTTTTACTTTTAACCAATTAACCATAAAAACTGATTACGATTTTCATTAGAAACACAAAATAAACTAAATAGGGAAATGTTTGATATAATTCCTGATTTTATTTTTTCAACCAATACTTTTCTTTCTCTATTAATAAAGGCAATGGCAATGAAATTATGTCATATTTTGCCATCAACCACAATTGCACAATTCGCTATCAGTTTAAATGGTTCAACCTGGTTTAAAATTTTCAACGATAAGACAGAACTTAAACCCTTCTTTTTAATACTCCACACAAATTTTAAAAGTTTAATTAGCATAAAAAGTTTTTTCATTAAGTCCAATATAATAGATAACTTCATCTTTGTTTTAACATTACAAATATAAACGAAAATTTTACTTAAATATTTTCCATTAAGTGGACATAAATCAATCTGTCAGCAATTACACGATAAAGGACTAAAAGAATTAAGGTAAGAAAAATTTGATAAATTTTTGTTGTTGTGTGTAGTGATGATGTTGCAAATATTTGAATGACAGTTATGGCTAACTTTTGTGTGAAACTTTTAGTTATGTTTAAAATAAATCAAGTGTTGTAATTATTTAGTTCTAATGTATAACAATAAATGCAAATTAGCATTTTGTGTTACACATTATGAAACTTATATGGAAATTCTCCTCGAGTTATTCCAGGTGAATGACTCTAGGAGAACTCACCTGGAATGGAGTCAACCGCATGTTAGCTTTATAAACAAGAAGTTTCCAGTTTGATCTTTTTAATGTCCATAATAGGACCACAACAAATAAGTTTCAAATATTTGCACTTAACTACTTTACAGAGATTTAAAAAAAAACTAGAACATCATAAAACTGTCTCTATATGATAGTTTAATTCCCAAATTATGTAACTTATTAAGTTTTACCCTGCACAAATAAAAGTATATTTAAGATGCTTGAATTTTATTTGAGATGCTTAAAAGATATTTATCAGCAATTTTTTTGTATATAGTGATAACAAACTCAAAATACAGAAAAAAAAACAAAAAAAAAAAACAGAAATTTTAATTTAAAAATCTGATTTATTTGCATTAAAAGTTTTATAACAATGAAATCTTATAACTATAAAATAAATAAAGTTTAGTAATTCACAACCATCAAAATAAAGAAATGATTAAAAACACTAAAATATAATAAAAATTAACTATTGTAAGTCCGATAGATTGTCCGATCAATATACAAAGTCATCAGACATTTTGTCCAGCGGGATTTTCAATTCTTTAAAATAAAATTTTATTCGTTGATTTGAATTTGACAAAATTAAACTTAATGTAAACTATTAGACAAACTTTCAAAATATGTTGATAGAGGCATTCATTCCCAAAAAAGAGCTGTTATTAATTGTAGTTTTAATGACTGTTCTTTAGTTTTATTGTTATATTATTAAATTTTATTGTTATATTATTAAATTTAAAATTATTGCTTATTAAAAACGATCGTAAAATGGATATTATAAAATGCGAATGAGCAAATTAACTTTGAAAAAGCGCCTAATCTAAGAAATGTCGCATTAATTAATTCTACTGATATTTCAATTATGTAAAAGTTTTTTCAAGAAGTCAAAAGATGAGATTACAATAATGAAAAAAAGCTTAAAAAAAAGTTAAATTATATCAAAATGGGGAAAGTTGGTGTAGGTAATTATTTATTTTTTGAGTGAATAAACTCTCATTAAAAAAATATTTTGTTTTACAAAGTAAGTCAAAGTATGTTTGATTGACTACTACAAACGCCGTGGACACCGAAAAGCAAAGAAAAGCTGGCAGTTTTAAAAAATTTGATAATAAAAGATTTTACAAATGTGTTTTTTTAGAGGCTGAGATCTCATCGATGGAATATTTAAAAAAAAAACATTAAGAAGATATACATATAAACATTAACGTTATGATCATCATAATCATTCTATTTTAGCTTGAGCGGTTTCTCAGTGGTATTCTGGTCCTACTCGAGTTTTCCGATTATTTATTCATTATTCGTTTTTTAAACTATATCTTTATTTGTATTCTTTTCTTTTTAATTATATATATATATATATATATATATATATATATATATATATATATATATATATATATATATATATATATATATATATATATATTATATATATATATATATATATATATATATATATATATATATAAAAGACTAAAAAGTTGAAAAGTAGATAAATAATAACCTGTAGAACTCATAAAATTTTCTTCGTTGAATTGATCGAATTTTAATGACACGCAGCGCATCAAATTTTTAAATTAAATAATAGCCCGTAAATATCATATTGCGTATAATTTAACCGCCTTTAAATAAGTAAAAGCAAAGTTTAAATTTTTTTATGTAAATTTTAAAAATAATATGTTTATCTTAATATTTAAGACATTATTATACTATATTACTATAACAAACTTGTTTTCTTGCCGTTTTTATTATTGATAAAAATAGTTACATGAACTCCATATAAATACCTTTTTGGCGCTAAAAGTGGAGCTTGTGCGCAAAATTGACACTTAGCATATTATATTTTGTTAAGTAAAAAAATTTACATAACTTTTATAAACGGGTAATGCAATTCAATGTAAACTAACAAGGTTTTCGAGAGAAAAAAACTCAATAAAACTTCAAGTCTATCTAAAAAAATCTGGAGAATTTAATTTTAACTATTTCAATTAAATTAAAAAGATCTACGATGATAAAAATTCTAAATATAAAGAAAAATAACTACAACTTCACTAGCCTAAAATAAAATAAACTGGGAAAACATAACATATATTTTGATTGGATAATTGGGTTCCGTAAAACTCAAATACGGAACCCAAGTAGCTAGTCTAAGAAAACCCATCTGCAGTACTTTTTTACTCTCGGCATTTAAAGAACTATCTTTTTCCTGTGTTCCTTTTAACTAAACAAATATGAATATATGTAAATATTTGAGAAAATTATTTGTTCAAATTTTATTTCAAAAATTTGATCGAACAATGTCTGACCAAAATAACTTTTGGTCGGATATTTTGTCCGGGACCTTATAAAAAATTAAATTAAGCCCTGTATACTGTATATACTATGTATATAAGATACTTTCAAGAATAATTATAACAATTAATCAGTTTTCTAAAGATTTCTGTAAAATTTGTTCTTGAAAGTTTTTTTATTTTTAACAATTATATCCTTAACTAGTCTGATTCATCATATATAAAACTTACAAACACTTTAAACCTCATATACATTAGTGCCTATTAATTATCTTGTCAGTTAAAAAATTACAAATAAATGATTGTTTTAATTGTTCAAAAACAACTTAAGTTCTAATTTTTTTTTTTACTAATAAAAGTTAAATTGTAACTTCATTAGTATTTAACTTCAGATTACCTCGTCTGATTACTTAGACATGCAGTAAAATCTATTATGTTTTTCTTTTGGCTAAACCCAAACATAGCAGATGCTTTAAGTATATATTTTTTGTAGTTCTATGAGGGCTAGTAAGTGAAGTTAGTTTTTTCATAGTTTAACATATGTCATTTTAGGGTTATTTTTGGTGACCTATTCCATACTAACTATCAAGTCTTTTTCTACATTAATGAGAGTTAAAGTTATGTCTATCGTTTTTTCCTCAGTTTTTCATAAAAATTTCATAAATACACAATTCTTCACATACAAAACATTTTAAACTTTGATTAAATAAAAGTACATAAACTTTAATGCAAAATCCATACAAAATTATATAGAACTGTTCTTGATATACTGAAAATCTACAAATTTAGATAGAAAAAACAAAATACAATTTTTTTTTTACTAAAAAAGCAATTTTAGTTATTATTTTGATGATCTTCTCATAAAACTTTTAATGCAAAAAAATCAGATTTTAACAAAAAAATCCTTGCAGGTTTTTTGTAGTATGAAGTTTATTACAAACAAATCTTTAGAATACATACCTTACAGACATCTCACTTTTTTTTATAATTATTGAGCAAAGTTTACATAATTAAATATTACATAGTTAATTGAAAAAACATTACATAATTATTTGTATGACACAATGCACACAATAGCACTAAAAAAAAAAATGCAAAAGATTAAGAATATCAATATCTTTGAATTGGTAAACTATTTTTTTGTTGTTGGTTGATTTGACATGAAAAAACCCCACAGTGATGCAGGTGCAGCAAGTATACATACATAGACTGATTTTTGAATGGATAGACACAATAAGTGCACGTACATCAACTGAAAATAAGTATTTAAAAGGTTTAAAAAAATTATTCCAGTTTTGTTTTTAAAACAGTTTCAACAAAATTTTAAATTTTTATTTTAAATTTAAATAATAATATCAATAAATGCATACTTAGCTGCAAATGTCACTGGTGATACCACATATAAAAAAATCAAAAATACATTAACATTGAATAAAATTTATAATAGAAAGAATATAATATTCTGCTGACCTAAAAATACAGAACATATATTAATATAATAAAACTACTAAAAACTAATAAAATATGTGATTTGTGAAATTACATTAATGAAATAAATAAAGCATCAGAACAAAAAAAATGGGAACGAAGAATTTTCAAACAAATATTTAAAATAACTGTTTTTCACAAATTTCTAAAATTTTTATTTAAAGTTAAGAAATATTTTTAATTTCAAAATTTTTTCTTATTTAGAAAAGGTAATTGCTTATTACTAGTAAAGGTACCCATTAATTTCTGTATAACTATATATATATATATATATATATATATATATATATATATATATATATATATATATATATATATATATATATATATATATATATATATATATATATATATATATATATATATATATATATATATATATTCTTATATCTTAGTTGAAAGAGACTTTTATGGTAAAAAAAAAAGGTCTCTTTTAACAACAACTTCAACAATTATTTTTTTGACAACAATAAAATTACATTTTATTGTTGTCAAAGAAATAATTGTTGAAGTTGTTGTTAAAAGAGACCTTTTTTTTACCATAAAAGTCTCTTTCAACTAAGATATAAGAATATATATATATATATATATATATATATATATATATATATATATATATATATATATATATATATATATATATATATATATATATATATATGCACTAAATGTTTATAAATAAAAAAATGTAACAAAAAACAAAAAAATGTTTACTATGGAAATGCAGCAAGTTTGCCAATCATATCTTTTTTCTCAGTTATCCAGAAAATAAACTCCTTTAATAAACACTTTATGTATAAGCAATCAGTCTCCATGGGTACAAAAGAGTTTGAATTAGTATTTGTTATTGAAGATAAATCGTAAGATTTTCTTTTGTAAATTTTTAGACTTGTTTCTATACTTCCAAATTCATTGGCAATTTGATCCAAAGTCCAATTTATTAATGACCAATCATTAATCATATTAGTAATTACAACAGGCTCTTTTTGAGAATATAAAAATGCTTTCATCTGATCTCCTGATAAAAGCGACCCATCAATATATTGAGCAGCCATTATTATTTCATATTTTCTTTCATTTAGTTTGTTCTATTATATATATATATATATATATATATATATATATATATATATATATATATATATATATATATATATATATATATATATATATATATATATATATATATATATATATATACCCTAATATATATATATATATATATATATATATATATATATATACCCTAATATATATATATATATATATATATATATATATATATATATATATATATATATATATATATATATATATATATATATATATATATATATATATATATATATATATTAGGGTGACCTAAAAATGCCAAAAACTTTTTTTTTTAGATTTTGAACATGCTAAAGTTTCCTATCCATTATACGCCATATAAAGAGTCCCTCCCAAAAATATTTCCTTTTAAATGTGTTGGGAATAGTAAAAATTGAGTTTTAATTCCAAACATAAATTTTGGTGAAAAAATTATACATTTTTAACTTTATTATGAAGAAAATTAAATTTGAAACTGTTTTTTGAAATTTTTTTTAAGATAATAAACTAATTTAAAAAAAAAATCAGTACAATTATTTTCTAACATCATTTATTTAACTGTAAGACTGTGGCATTTTTTTCGAGACAAGATTTCTGTGATCTCGGACAACCAACAATATATTCTGGCGTTGATCTTCATTGTGGGATGTATCAACATATTCTTGTATCAGATCAATGTTTCTTTCTGCACAATCATTAGTGACATTTAACCCACATACAAAGCTACAAAAGTCTTTATAAGATGCAAGTTCCTCCAAATCTCCCTCAGTCTGATACCACTCCCTGACAACACTAGTGGTGTCAATAATAATAAACAGAAGCCAACATTCCTCTGTAATTAGTTCTTCTAATTTAGTAGACTCTGAGATGGATACCTTCTCTGGAGCATCTAAGGTTAAATCTTTCTTGTTAGGTACAGGGAATGTAAGTACTTTCCTATGACAGACATTTTGGTAGACCTGTCAAGATCAGGATCAACCAATGCCATAGTAACACACTTAGGGAAAAGATACCAAGTATGGTTTTGCAGGCTTTTTAATAAAGCACTACCAACATCATAATCCCAATCCTTTTGGATGATTTTAGCAGCTTTGTATGCCTCAAGGTCATTTACTACTGTATGTTCAGCTTTGCTGGATTTGAGAAATGAAGGAGCAAAGTATAAGCAACAATAAAGTTAGCCTTAGAGACTTCTGATCATCACTCAGGAAGTTAATAAGAGGATACGTAATATCCAGAAGCCCTTACTAGATGCTACCACACATAAATCTGGCATTATAGTTAGCACCTGGTTGGTACAAACTAAACTTTTCAAGCTTGGGTGAACTGATATTCATATAGAATGCAAGGTATTTTACCAAGTGATTATAATCATTCCTAGGAAAAACAAACTCAAGTGAATTAGCAATGAATTTTTTAGACTTGAGATATAAACTGTGAAGATCACTTCTAACAAATAGCTCACTTTCGGGAAACTTCTTGAATTTTCTCAGCTCCTGCTTTACTAACAATAGGGTAATAATTATTCATCTAAGCGTGCTTTAAATATTTATACATCTATTTAGATGGTCCCACAATTTGCTAATTAAAAATAGCTTTGATGCCCCATTTTATATGGATCTTTGCAATATGGTGCCAACACAAGAGCCATAAGTTTTGTGGCTCTTGTATTGGCACCATATTGCAAATTGGGACAATCAGTTTTGTCCCAAAACTCTGACTAAAGTTAAAATCGTTCCTGATTTTTTCCTGTGTTTATAACTGCTGTGTCAGTACACATAGCAATGATATTCTCTGAAATTTTGAAATATTCTACTAGATTCTGGAGTACAATAGCCATATCATTAGCTTTTCTATTGTCCACAGTAACAACTCTAAGAAGTAAATCATTATTTGACGAAACTCAGGATTTGTAACTGATACTGCTAGTCTATCAATTAGAACTCATTTCCTCTATTCTTCTTTTATGTGCTTTACAATTTTTCCATAGCACCAATAGTTTGTTCTTCATTATTTCCATATACTCATTACAAATTTTACAACCTAAACAGATTTTTATCTTTAAATTTAATAACTTTATCAATCAGTAATCTAAAACAGATTTTTATATTATTACAATCTATAGAGCTAAAATGATAAACAGTATAATTTGTTATCTTCAGAATGGATTAGTTTGTATCTGCCTCTTCTAATCGACTCTCTGCTTATCCTTAACTCTGTGATATCTCCTTCAAGATAATTTACAATGCTAGAGATGAATAGAGATTGATCTCTTATGCTGATACCAGCTCTTACACAATTTGGTGTGGTTGCTGCAATCAAAACCTCCTTAGTGATTTTCTTGCTGAGGGACCAGATCTATGTCTTGATTTAGGTCTATCAGGCTTATCAACCAAAGTTGGTTCATTGCTTAAGTTAGAGTGATAATCTCTATCAGGGTACAGCTGGGGAGGACCTATCAAAGAAGTTTTTTAGAATGAAGAAATCAAAAAAATTTATTCCTTGCATGACATGATATTAAAAAGGATGAGAGAAGAGAGAGAAATGACTAGGAAATAATTTAAAGATACTAAAAAACATATCTAATACTGATTTTCTTTTACATTTTTTTGAAGTTGGCTCATCTTCTTCACTTATATAGTCCTGATTTTTATCGTCTGTTCTCACTGGATTATTAGGAACCAACCGATCTGTTTCAGCTTTTTTCCGAAGCTCTTCGTGTCTAGTGTATCTATCAATTCTTCCCTCGATCTAAAATAAATAAAAACTTTTGAAATTTAGCATATAAAAATGTTTAAATATTAATATATAAATCTTAATCAGTTTTAGTTTCATTAAATGTTTATTACACTAGCCTCTAACTCTTCATCAACACAAGCACTGATTAACATTTTTCTGTCTTGTTTTTGATCTTGAAGAAAGTCTTGGTTTTTTTTATTGTAGCACTGTCTCTTGGCATAAAAGTATCCGGATACATGTTGTACTCAAACTGTTGAGAACTGATGTCAAACAGGTTATCTGTCATTATCAAAAACTTTTCTTGCTGCTTTTGAGGTGCATTTGGTTTTATTTTAAGTGTTTTTTCATTACAAACAGCTTTATATTGCTTGTAAATTTCTAGAAACTTGTTTAGTATTCTTACTTGTGAAAGAACATAGTTCTGGAAACCACAAGAGGCCCAAATATTTACAATACTCCGGAGCAAACAGTATTCTCCAGTCACAGCATTGCAAGGTTTATCCTTTTCACTTCATATCTTCATATAGAAGATGTTTTTTGTGCACAAGCAAAGTTTGATTTATTTGGTCTGAATCTTTTAACCCTGGGGGAAATAACATACAGAAAATATCTAATAATATGAGCATTAGTAGGCAATTGCCTGCTAGTTAGAGAACTCAGTGGAGTGTCAAGAAGATTGGTCTTCTTAGGTTGCAATTGATTGACAGCTCCTTTTTTAGCTTTAAACATTTTTCTGAAATATTCCCATTTTTCTGAAATATTCTTATAAAAAATGTTTAAACAAAGAATTGATTTAAACATTTATAAAGTTAAATATAAAAATTAATAAACTGTGCTTATAAGCGTATTGAGTAATAATATAATAAGAACTTAATGGCAGACAGTAGTAACGGTGGGGTGGTGGGGCCCTAGGATTTAGAGTAATTATAAAGAGGCAGAGGAGTTGGTGGGCATTGTCAATATGATTATGAATAAAATAATATGAACAAAAAAAAAAAAGTATTTATATTGTTATTAAAAAAAATTAAAAAAGTATTTATATTGTGTATCAGCATTAATCTACTATTTCCTCTTTTACGTAAGCTTGAACTGGAAAATCTGCTGAAATACGTCAAATAAATTAATTTTATGTCTGAAATAATCATATCAAATAACTTATACAGTGTAAAAGATATTATTTTATTGTACAAACATGTAAAATATACATGTTTATAAAATAAAAATGCTAATTCCTTGTAAAAATTGATTTTTACTTGTAGCTGTTACAAGCATCCAGCATACTTAAAATTTTGCCTGTAAACTCATATTGTGACACCTTAGTAAATTTTTTTTTTTTTTTTTTTTGCATTTTTGGGTCACTCAATATAAATATTTTTTTTTATAAAAAATATGAAATGACCTTCTCTTTTTTTATAAATAAAAATATAGACATATGAGGTTTAATACAATTTACAGTAAAATGAAAACTAATACAATGGTATTTACATATTTTGTAAACTTTGTTATTTTATTTACTCCATTATTCCATAATATAACCTTTAACATGCAACCTTATTACAAAAAAGTTCTCAATGAAAACTTTGGGATTTTGAAGGTGATACAATAAAATTAATAAACTTAAACTGTTATTATTTTTTAAAAAAATAATTCAAAATAAAGAATAATACAAATACTATTTTCTTAAACATATTTTTTTATTTGAGGAAAAACTTTTGGATACTTTTCCTTATACTTTCTTAGCTCAGTTGATATAGGTCCTTTGATCTTTCCACCAAGTGGCACAAGATTATCATCAAGTAAGACTATATTATTTCTATCGTATCTAGGTATCATATCTTGTTTTTGCTTTCTTGTTGTTACTACTAAAGCTTTGCAAGGTTTTCCTTTAACAGCAACTCTAATTATGTCACCAATATCTGCAGTTCTTCGTTTACGATAAAAACCAATTAAATACGGCTTTCGATATCGGCTGGTTTTCTGACCCAATTCACTGTTATCAAGGCAATTAAATTCTGTGAGCAGAAAAATAGACCTTCTGTTTATAAGAGAATTAACTCCAAATGATTTGAAGAATGATACTAAAGTGTTCATTTTTTTCTAACTAAATAACAAAGTTTAAAATATTTTTAGAACAAAAAATATTTTATTTAAATTCACAAAATTAAATGAATTAAAGAAATTATATAAAAAAAAACTTAAAAGATTTTATTAAACATCACAAAAATATCTTTAAAAATGAAATAAAAAGTTATCTATGTAATTTTTATGAAACTTTAACTAAGGAAATGGGACTGCATCCAAAGCTTTCTAGTACAATAATACCTATTAATCAAGGATAAAAAACAAAAAAATGATGTTCATTAATAACCATAGCTGTATCTAAAAACTAAAAAAATGTCTTGTACACACACACAAAAAAAAAAGTATTAAAAAATGCCACGCGCAGTAGGATGTAAAATGTTGCTATATTAGTTAAACAGATATTTCAATTTTCTTTATCTTTGTAATGAACTTTTTTTTTTTGTTTCTGTGAAAATGTCATCTACATTATAAAAAATTACACAGGTCAACAAAGAACTTATTGCATTAATATTGACACTTGCTCTTAAATCTTGATACACTGAATTCAAATCTGAAATCAGATTTTTATGACAAGCTACAGATTTTTTGTAAAAAACAATTTATTTTTTCAAAGTTTAGTTGGTTGACTAAATTTTCAAGGTATTTCTCTGAAGCAAATGTGAATTTATTTATAAATGCTAGGCCATAGTTTAAATGATATAAATTTCTTAAAAATTTAAAACAAAAATAAGAAACAATTGAATATATTTTTATGTTATATAGGAAAATGAAGTTTTATTATATTAAAAAAAATATCTAACTTGTGCAAGCGCAGAAACAAGGACACTAAACTGAAGAGGTTTAAGATATTAATGCAATTTCTCTCCTTGTTCTTCACTCACATCTCCAAGATTTTCAGGAAACTGTTAAAAAATTAATATTTATATAATGAAGTTTTACATTCATTTTCCATCCAAGATCACAAAGGAATAAATCTAAATAGTTTTCATTTTTTTTTTTACTAGAAACTTTTTTACAACATTCTTTACCATTTATAAAATAGAAAATTAATGACCCATCAAAAATTTCAGCTTTTTTTTTCTAATGACAAACCAGGTAATGTTTGTAAACTAAATACTGAAAAAAAAACACACATCAGTTTTTAGTGTTTTAACAAAATGTTAATCCTAGTTTAAAATGGAGTGATGGAAAAGCTATTTTATTTCTGCTAACAATAGGCTCATTCACATTATTTGGCACGCCTACTGTCATAGTGTATCCAAAATTGGTTTCTCGACTGTCCAACACGCATAGATAGCATGGAAATTTAGTAAAAACTTTCTGTTGACCAAGGAGAAAGTTAACCAATTTTAGATCTACAAAAATATTACAGGCATTCTGGATATTTGATCAAGTCAAGTATCATTTTAATGTCATGGAAAGTCTCTTTTAATGTCATGGTAAGTCTCTTGCAAATAAGCAGAATGGCTAATTGGCATAGAACAAAAAATATTACCATTATTTAAAAGGACACATTTGAGGCTTCACTCTAAGCTATCGATAAACAGTCTCTAATCTGTTGGATTACAAACAGAAATATCTTACTGTACTAGGAGACCTAAAATATCAATACAGAAAACAAGTAAATGTACTTCTGAAAAAAAGTTAACAAGAGTTTCCTCTCTTTTTCTAAAGTAGGAAACTTTTTTAAAGCAGCCAAGAAGGTTTTTTTAAAAAGTAAAATTGGAATCTTTTCAGAATGCTGAATTGGTAGCAGAAGGAATATTGGGATAAGGTATTTTTTGCAGCTTTATTTTTCCAATACCAGAGGTATTGACTAGACAAAAATAAAAGTCATTAATATGGTTTAGTGGTTCTCTTCGCACCGCAAGGACACTAAAAGTATATTTTTTTTGTCCATTTTCAAAGACTCTCTTTGCAAATATGACACACAGTATGTGATGCCCACTTTTTAATTTGGTCACCAAGTTTACTTAAAAATGCCAACAAAAAACCTTATTTTTGAAAATTTGAAAAATTGAAAATTGCAGAAAAACTAGAGATACAAACAAAGTTAAGATCTGAAATCAGCATTAAAAAAATACATAAAAATCAGTTTAAATATCTATGCAACGCAATTTATTTTTTGTAGACCTGTGTTATCTTCACAATAAACAGAAAGCCTTTTTTTATTTTAGATCTGGTTATTAAGATGTTCTAAAAGATGATTCTAAAATAAAATCCAACACTGTGTCATGGCTCCTTTGAGTCAAATGATATTTTGCTGTAATTGAAAAATATAACATTTATTATATCTTGAAACAATAGAGGTAAGTAGACATATAATATTCATTCCATTCAAATATATAATCCATTCATGGTCATCTGATACATTTGCAATATTTAAAGGATATTCTTTTAGTAGCAATCCTGTTGAATTGTCAAAAAAACCAATAACATAAGTGTCAGAACCAAGCTCAACAATTTTAGTGTAAAGGATTGCTAATATATTTGCATCATAGCAGTAATCTAGGGCATGGATAACTTCAGACTGTAGTGTTGTACAACTAGAATCAATTACAGGTTTTGAGACACGACCATATTTAGACATCGGCGGATGTAAGCTCATCTTATTAGAACTTGTAACTTGAATGACGAAGCTTGTTTTTAATTTGAATTCATTTGAATCTTCAATCTTGTAAAAGCTAAAATAATTTCAATATAAATATTATTTTTTTATTTACATTTTATCAATGTACAACAAAAAAACGAAGGAAAAAAAAATATTATTTTGTTTAATACAATTTTTCAAATCATTAAACCAATTGTAAATATTTTAAAAAAAGAATATGAATAAAATTATAAGAAACAATTGAAAAAACATATTACTGAGCTTAGAAAATAAACAAAACAAAACATTATTATAAATAATCCTCCCCACCCAAAATTAAAATTAATTTATTAATAAAGAAACAAGAAACTTAAGCTGAATTAAAAAAATATTTTAAAAATCATACTTATAAAAAATATAAGTAATTTATATTTTAAGTAATATTATATTATATACTATTTCAGAAAGTTGATATAAGATATAAAAAAAAATTACAAATATCAAAAACTGTGCAATAATCTCTGACAATTTTTTAACTATCTCCTAACCTCTTACCAAGCATTTATATGTTCATTCTTTACAAACACTTCAAATCATCCATCATCATCATCGTCAATATTTCATTATTTATTAATTTTTATTTTTATTTTTGTATGTATACTTCTTCTTTCATTCTTGCACTTTAAAATTTATAGCAAAACTTCAAAATGCACTAGCATTCTATAAATTTTCTAAAAATGCTAAACTAAAATTTATCAGTTAAAAATTATTATATATAAATCTTATACTCTGAAACATGAATCCAAAAAAAAATAATCTTAGAGACAAAACTAAAAATTGTAAAGTAGTTGTAAAAAGAAGTTTAAACTATTTCATAAGTACTTTTAATAATATTAAAATAATAATAATAACAATAATATTAATAAATTAAAACAAACTAAATTATATAAAATACTTATCATTAGTTTTAAAATTATTAAAAAAAAAAATTTACTTGATAGTTTCTGCCTGTACATGCATGATATAACCTGAGTTATCGATGTGGAAGTAAGCTGGTTGGTCAAATAATACACCTTGCATGTTTTCAAAAGCTGCTCCTAGTTTCCCATCATCTAACCTAAATACTTTTACTTGATTTTTTTCATAAATGACGTATGCCCATGGAAATCCACCAAAAGAAAGACTATTGAAAGTTGAACAATTAATTTTTTTTAGAACTTTTGGATAGCAATTGATATTAATATTAATAGTCAAACACTCTTGTAAATTACTAATATCATCCAGTTTTTGATTTTGAAACTCACATAAAATATTTTCCAAATCATACATCACCACAACATTTTTTAAAGAAACATATAGAATTCCTTCACTTAAAGATGCATCTAACACTTTGCCAAATAAATCTTCAGTTAATTCAAAAGCACCTATAAATTTAAAAGGGTTGATATCAAATAAAGCAAAGTAAAAGTGTGTATTGCTCTGGTGGTTAACAATGTGATGTTTAGACTTAACATAAAATCTTTCATTAACTTTATCCCAATCAAGGTGTAAAAAACAATATCTTAACCCCAAATTAATTTTTTGATCCATATTTAAAAAGTCGCTGCGCATGGAATAACAAAAGAGATCTGATGAGGACGACAATAAATACATGCATTCGTTATAATTTGTTTTCGAACAGTTAAAATCTAAATTGACATATGTAGGACATTGATATCTTAAAAAGTCAATAAATCGTGTTTTAGATGGTAATTTATGAATTCCAGTTTTTATTGTGTGCGGTTTATTATTAAAGAAGCAACCAGCAAAACATTTGGAAAAGTCATTCAAATATAAATTGTTGTCATAAAAAACTTTACTAGTGCATTTTTCCTGAAAAGATAAATTCAATTCTCTGACAGAAGAAATATAAAGATTTTGTGTGAAACTTCTCTCGTTAGATTTTCCAGACAGCTCTCTTTCTCTTATCAAAGAACATATTTTTTTATTACATTTTGGTAACATTATATTAACTGCTTTGTTATTTTTATTAACACACTTTTACACCAGAGAGTAGACTTTGATTGTATTTACCCCCGGGTGTATAAGAAAACTACAACGGGCCACACTGTACAACACCGGACCACACCCGACATTGAAAACCTAACTTAGCCCGCTTAACTTCACTAAAGCAGCCTAAATATTTAAGCAAGCTTTAAAAAAAAATTGAACTCATCATTAATATTTTAATAAATAATCATAAAAAACAGCTAAATACTAATTTTTAATTCATTTATAAAATATTTCAGTTTGATAAGCTCAGTCCGTCGTCAGTCGTAAAATGAAATACAATAATAATATCACAAAATTTTGTGATATTATTATTATAGTTTTCTTATACACCCGTTTTTTATAAAAAAAGGTATGTAAAAAACCGTTAAAAAGACATTATAAAAATGAGCTGACGTAACGTGAAAACTAATTTGAAATTTCAATGATTTTTTTGACAACACCGTTGTGATTGTTTAAAAGCGGCGGGAAGTGTCTTATCTCGTAATTTTTTTAGGCATAATAAACTCAAGGGGCTCTCTTTTTCTTTTCATGGTAGTAAGAAGTAAGTACGACTGTTTTGGAGTACATCCAATTAAATGTATTGCGGCAGTCCTTCAGTGGCTCCAAAAGCATGTCAATTACTTTTCATGCAGTTTACCTGATGCTCAATACATCTTTATATAATTTATATAAATATATATAATTACATGCTCAATACTTCTTTTATAATTACATGCTCAATACTTCTTATATATTCATATATAATTATATAAATATAAACGCTACCGCATAAAGAGCACTCTTGTTGCAGGACGATCAATCACTAGGTAATTGCATGATTTGTTATGTGGGAAAAACCAAGTTTGGAAGCCCAATTAGAACAGCAAACACAACCAGTCAGCCAAAAGAGCAGCCAGTTATTGAGAAACGTTGTTCAGCATGCATTTCACTGATTGGAAGTAGGATTCTACATATCTGTTCAAAAGGAATACTTTGACAAAACTTGCTTGAAGTTGCGGCAAAAGACATAAAAGCAGCAGAAAAAGAAGCTGCTTCTGTTTTAGCTTCCAGTTACTCCAGGTAAAAAATAATTTCTTTTACTCATATATGCCTAACATACTTTTTTTTAAGTGACATTTTTATTACAACTAGAAGACTTTATAAAATGAGATTAACTAATATGTTGATGTAAACGTTTTTTCCAGAACCATAAAGTTAAAGAGAACTTTTTCCAGCAGCTACATCCACCTTGACTGCTCAACTACTCCTATAAGTTCAAAACTAGACTGGGCTTTCAAACACTTAATAAAGTAGCTACCTGGTGAATAGTTGAAAAAAACTTTAGGGAAAAATTTGAGTCTCTTGGAAAGCATCTTTCTGACTTGTTTTTCAAATGGATTAATGCGCACATAATGTAATACAGAGACTGTTAAATACACATTTTAGTCGTTAACTGATAAATAAACATTTTAGTCGGCCACTCTGAAAATGCGGGTTAGAAAAGATTTAAAATTAATAAAACCACAAGTGAAAACACTTATATTTTTGATGAATTTCTTATCTTTATTAGTAAAATTAGTAAAAATTAAATTAAAAAAATTATAAAAATAATTCAATAATAACCAGGGAAAGTGGTTCTAAAAACGGGCCCCTAAGATGTGATTTTATTATTAATTTTTGGAAAAAAGAATATTTGAAAGTACCCATTTTAAAATTTTATTGAGCTAATTTTTTTTTTAGTTTGATTATAATTAAAGTTATTGTCAATTTTTCTTTACTCAATGTTTCAATTTTTAATGTGAATAATGAACAGAAGATTATGTATCATCTACAAATCAGTTATAGTCAATTTTTGATTAATAATCAGGTTTTATTTAGAAATTAAACTAAGGGGCTCATCTTAGGCTACTTTCACGGAATATGGGCTCCTACCTTCTTTGTTTAACGGTTGTTTTCTTAACGTAAGGTATAGTTACACCTTTAATTTTGTGACCTTAAATTGTAGAACATAGATTGAGTTTCCTGAAAAAAACTTTGTTTGTAATTTTTGGTAAGTTACAGCTAGTTGGTTCTATCATTTTTTGAAAATAAACCCTCTTTAGGTCACTCTTCCCTACCTATTTTTTTTTCCCTTAATATTCCTTTTTTTTTGTTTTAGTTTTTTTCTTTATTTTATCTTTACGTTATTTAAGAATTATATTTAAGAATTTTTTGCGAATACTTGAAACATATTTGTGAAATCATTTTTTATTCAGTAAACTCCCAGTTATTAGAACCTCATTGGGTAACAAGAGCTTTCTTCAAATAACCGAGAGTTCGAATAACTAATAATCTTTTTTAAAGTGACCTATTAAGTTACTATTAGTGAGTACAAAAAAAGAAAAACTTTAGAATAAGATGCTGTTAATATCTTTACCTTCTAAAAAAACAAATTTAAAATAAAAAAATTAAATCTTAACGATTTTTTGAATAAATCTTCTATTTTCTTTTTTGCTTCTAACATATGTTTATCAAATATCTTTAAACTAGGCTTAGAAATTGAAGGATTTCGACGCCGTTTTTTTAAAAAGAGACAAACATTGAGTTAACTCTATTGACGTGCAATATCTTCATCCATTCTTATAAAATATAAGGTTTGTTTTTGTTTATACAATGCAGAAATAAATAAATGTTCCATTTTCAGAGAGAAAAATTTAGTCGATAAAGCTAATATTGCCCACTTTTATTCTTTTGTAAAAGCAAAAAAAAAAAAAAAAAGCCTGTAGCTCTGTTGCACCACTATTACGACCACTATTACGACCTCTTAGCACAGATGATTGTGAAAAATCAAATCTTTTAAACAATTTTTTCAGTTCTATTTTTTTTACAGATAATGGCACTGCACCTGTCTTAGATTTGCCAACACACTCAAACTCTTTAAATAATATAATGTTTCCATACAAATCTGTAGTTTCATCCTTACACAATCTTCCATTAAAGTCCTCCAAATCACCTGATGGATACCCAGCAATACTTTTAAAATCAATCGCAAATGCGATTGCTATTCCTCTTTCCAAACTGTTCAAATTGTCAATGTCAAAAAATACCATACCTTTAATCTGGAAAACCGCTATAGTGTGCCCCATTTATAAGAAAGGAAACCAGTCATTAACCACAAACTATAGACCTATTTCTATGAAGTGCATTTGTCTTTGTTCAAATCAAAATTAAAAAAGTACAATGTTCATCACCATTGCACACTATTTTATCTAGTTTTTTTTGTCTCTTTTTTTGTCGATGTTACATAAGAGTAATTTTGATATTATCTGCATCACCTTTTTGTATTTCTTATTTTTATATGCAAATAAATCAGAAATAATAATGATAATGTGATAAGTTTGGCTTTTCAAGAGACAAATTGTTTGACTCTTGATTTATCTCCTTATCTACCTCAGCACAATTGTTGATTAAGATGAAATCCAAAGTTTATCAATCTGAGATAGTGTTGCTTGTACAAATATCAAAATCTATGTTTACGTAATCTTAAACAACAAAAACTTTGTCTACTAAACCACGTAATCAAAACTTATTGACGCTTTCTTCAAGCAATTCGAAAGGATCATCTTCACCATTTCTACTTGCAGCCTGTATTTCATGCAAGATACCTGCCTTTCTAAAAAAATTCGTTACAGTTTTTGTCGATACAGCATCTCATTAATTGATCAACATCCTCATAGCTTTTAGAATGTTGACGTTTGGGGTCATTTTACCAGCATCGATGTATTTGATCTGACGCCTCGCAGCATTTGTGCGATAAGAAAACTTCAATGGCCTTACCCTCCCTGGTCCATTTGTTTTGGAGGTTTCGTTTGGTGGTAAAAAAACTAATTCAATTGCTTTGAAATTGTTGGCATTAGGATGATTTGAACAGTTATTTATGATTAGAGGAACTTTCTACCCTCAGCATTAAAATTTGTGTCAAGCCTTCTTACATAATCAGTAAATATTTTAGAGACCAACCAAGATTTATTTTGGGGCTTGTACTTGCAATGTAGGCTTTTGACACATTTGAAACATCTTTTTTTGCCTTTCCAATTATAAACATAAGCAGCTTTTCACTGACCCCATATTCTGCTCCTAAGCCTGTCAAACGAACTTTGCCTAATTTTCCTCCTGTACATCCTTCACTTTTTAGATCAAAGGTTTTTGTCATAGGCTATTGATAAAATAAACCAAACCTGTCAGCGTTATAAAAATAGCTCAATTTCATAATTTATTTATACATCCGGATACTTATCACTTTGAAGAAAAAAATTGAAGGCCAAAGTGTTTATAAAGAAGCAACTTTGAAAGTTCAAAGAGTATGATTAGCAAATGTTGCGTTATGAATTGTTGTTCCTATTATCATATATTGTTCATATTATCATATATCGTTCATATTATCATAACTATGGTGAAGTATTTACAGTATTATTTTTGAGCAGTATTAATACAGTAGTATTTTCGTTTCCAAAAAATAAAGAGTTTAAAAAAATTGGATTAAATTTGTAAATAGGAAAAATTGGGCACCTTTCTATTCTTCCGTTTTATGCATCAAACGTTTAGGAAAAAAAATATCATAAGAAAGGTAACATGAATCGATGTTTTAGATTGTTAAAAAAACTAAAGCCTACTCCAACTATTTTTGATTGTACAAACTTGAGTGAAGAAGCTTCATCATAACTTATAAAATCTTCCATTTCATTAAGAAAATCACAAACTAAAAGAACCAAATCAAAATATGGACAATTTTTGTTCAATTATTTGACTAATAGCTTTAAAAATATTCCTGAAAGTCTTGCTCCTGATGATTTTTCATTCTTTTTTCATTTCATTATAAATTGAGCCATAGTACCAAAGTATCTATCCCAGAAGTTACAGTGTGCATTCTTGTAAAAAATGAGATGGATGTTAAATTATTTTATTCTGTATTGTCTGTATTCACTGAGTTACAGCAAACTAAATTTATGAAGAAACCTACTTATTCAGCCAATATTATAATTTATTCACTGAAATTACAATATACTTCACTGATATTACAATATACTTCTATACCAACTTTTGCATGAAGATTT